ATTGCTGCTGACCAGTTATATCCCTTTATCTTCTTAGCCATCTTCTGATGGCTAATTCCAGCAACATAACTATGACACAGATTCATGACATGGATGTGGAGTCAATAATTCAGCAGGGACTTTGTGCTGCTGTCAGTCATGGACCAATTGCTGAATTTATGCCACAAATAATTAAAACAGTTCTGAAGGTAAAAGTGAGTCCAGGCTGGTACTAGTAATGCGTACTTAATAGAGTGGCCAATGGAGTGTTTTTTTTAAATAGATATTTTTTTCTTTTTTCTTTTCTCTTTTCTCGTTCCTTTCTTTCCTTTCTTAATATAATACTTAGCTTGTTGATGATTATTAACGAATATATAAGTACAAAATCACAAAATTTACAGTAGGGAAGGATCATGCATGTATGCATGCAAGATCATGCATATCACTAAAACCCTGCGGTGCTGTTAACATGTAATTTGAAGTCTTTTTGGCTCAGTGGTTTTCACAGCAGCACATGGATTAAGAGCATACTGTAGCTCTTGCTATGCGAGGTGGAGGATCAGCCTCACAAAAAAATATGTACTAAGTTAAATCAGCTTTGTAAAAACGATTACCACACCAAATGAAATGTATTCCAATATACAATACAGTAATTCCCAAGACTCCCAGTTCTCAAGATGAGAACAAAAATCACACAAAAAGTCATGCTCCTATTTACTCACACAAAATCCCAAAATGTATCATGTGAAAACAAATGGAATTTGTTCCTAGAAAGTTTATCTGAGACCAGCTGAAAAAAGGCCTAATCTCGCTTCTTGGACATTGCTTCAAAGAATTGATTTAGAATTCAAAGATGCTATCACAAGCTATCACAGCAAGGAAAGAAAATGAGAAAAAAAATCTCTGACTCAGTGCTTTGAAGAAAATAAAAAACCTTAACTAAAAAGGTCTTTGAAGATAAAACCATCATTTCTAGAGACAAATTACATAATGTTGTTCAGTGTTTATTGAATGTTTTGATGTTTTGGGTGGGTATTCAGATTTATTCAGTTTTGCATGAAACACTGTAAAAGGCAATAATTATTACAAATAATCAATAATAGAATAATATAATGATTCTCTATAGAAAAAAAACAAACATTCAGTATTATTCAAAAGTCTTGAACCGCACATCAGTTTAATTGAAGTGGTCTTTGTCAATAGTCCTTCATCCTTTTTGAAGGACTTTCAAAGTTTTTCTTTGGACAAGTCCTAGCTGACCATTTTTTGAAGAATGCATCTGTTATTTGTTAAGCCACTTAACACTGACCTACGAACCCATGAACCCATTCAAGCAAAAAAGACACTTCAAGCTTTAGACGCTTTGTTACTAGCAGCCTGTCACATTAAGACCAAAGATAACATAGTATTGAATACACGAATCAGTATTTTTACAAGGTAAATTCCTAGAGCTATCAGCTGAAAACTTGTTAAACGTATATTTGCATGATATGCACTGTACCCTCAAAGAAATCTGTGGAAACTGGTCAAAGGAAGATGCAGGAGGCTTAAAACCTGATCTACAGCAGACGTTCAGTATCTAAAAGTCATGTTCTTAAGAAATACAGAAAAATGATTCAAAGACTTGACACAGGACATGAGAGATGTATCTGGCCCTTCAGTTGGTCCATGTACTGTTCATTGAAGCCTAATCAGACGTTGCCTCAGTGAAAGAGTGGCTGACAAGAAGCCATTCTTAAGGAAGAAAAACAGAGAGGAAAGGCTGAGATTTGCCAGATCACATAAGAACTGGACAGAAAATCAATGGCAACTGATCTTATAGAGTGATGAATCATTGTCAATATGCATAAAGGAGCATAAAAGAGAAGTATAGCAGTGAGTGTCTACAGCCATTTATGAAACAGGATGAAGACTCTCTCAAGATTTGGGACTGTGTTTTGGTTAGTGGTTTTGGGGACCTTGTCAAATATAAATTATGACCCCAAAAACCATTGGGTTTTGATCCAGCATGCAACACCATCTATTGGGAGCAGCTTAATTTTTCAGCGTGACAATGATCCCAAGAAAGCCACCAATGCAATAATAATGCAATAGAAAAACACACAATTAACCACTATCAGTCATGGATTGGCCTCCCCCCAGAGCCTGGCCCTCAACATAACTAAAGCAGCGTAGGACCATTTTGACAGAGAACAGAACAAAAGGCAACAACATCCAAAGAAGGGATTTAAATGTCCTTCAAGAAGTCTGGAGAACTCTTTCTGAAGACTACATAAAGTCAGACTGTTGAGGGATAAAGGTGATTACATCAAATATTGTCTTTGACAGTAGAATCTTCAAAACTCAATTTTTGTCAAATGTACTGTATTACCATGTATCCCTGCTCACGCATCTTAATAAACTGATGTTCCTATTTCCCATTTTTCTAGGAAAATATAGTCAAAAGAGCCTTAAGTAATGGCTCAAGAATATCGCCCTGCACTGTATATCAGAATTTAAACTCTCTAAAGATACATTATGTTTGAGGAGGCATAACTTTCTTGCCACTAGAAAAAAAAACTTTTAATGATGTTGTTCGCAATTACCTGTGGCAATTTGTTTTGTAGCTTTAGAGTCTATCACTTTCTTTCACTTCACAATCATTACAGTGTGATTGCAGGCTCACTCTATAACCCTTTAAACATAAATAACTTTCTGGAAGAAGGCACATGGAACAATGTTCTTCTCTCTGATTTACTCCTCCATTTAAAGTCTCCCAAAGGAATTGAAGACAATGACCTCCATCTACCTGTGGTCAAGAAAAGTCTAGTAGCGATTTGTTCCCTAAAGATCTCAAAGCCTCCCAGCCTTGATAACAGATCTTCAGAAAAAAAATCCAGCTGGCAGAGACTGGAACTTGGAATTAAAAAGGATTGAGGATGGGATATTATGGTATATTAACTACAAGCACATAATTTATCACCATTTTCATGACTGCCTTTGGTGTTGCATGAAAATTCTGGCTCAGTATAGCGAGTGACCCACAACTTTAATCAGTATCTCTTCATTGCATTTGTACTCTGTCCAACACTTCCCTGAAGTGTTATAATCAGACAGGCTGCATAGTCAAATGTGCCATCAAACAACTCAGAGTTTGAATATGTGATGATGGCTTGGATCAGCTTAACTGGTGAAATGTCAGGGATCTTTAGCTGGAAGATTTGTAGAAGGAAAAGCGCCTGTAATGTTCAACACCAATTTTCTACATCTCACCAGGGACTTGAGAATAACCTTAGTTTCGGGGCTGACTTCAAGGTCAATGAAAAGCTCTTCAGCACGTAACATTGTGCAGTATGATCTTTTAGTTGGTTACGGCTGATGGTGTTCAAGACATATGTGTTCTGCCCCCCCCCCCAAACAACTCTGTTAAGCTGTGTCGGTTTATTCTGTGTTAACCACATTGCAGGATCAGAATTTAATCATTCACACTCTCAAGTAACTTCATTTAGTCGGTCAAAATAATAACACAGTTGTGGTGACAGAACTGAGGCATGGGAAAGGCAAGTGCTTCCTGCTAAGCTATACTGTTCTAACATTTGTTTGACTAAATGTACTCTGTTATCAAGTATACTCACTATGCAATCTGACAGCCTTGCAAATAAAACACAATTTTCAAGAAGGTGTTAATGCTCAGTGTTTGCTGAATTTAAGCAATGTTGAACAGATTGATAACAGATTGAAAAGTTTGGAGGAAGCATATTGCAGTGCTATGGAGCTTTGACCTATTATACAGACAGCTGCTTCCCTTGTGAAATAGAAACATTAAGATTAGAAACATTTGTGTAGAAAAAGTAATTTACGTTTTTTAAGGGTAGAGATTTTAGACTAATTCTTCTCAGTTTCCATACTCATACCTTCCAGTGTGGATAGCTGCCCTGCCATTTTTACCTGAAATTCCTCTGTCACTCAAAAAGCTTCATAAAATCATCTACAGCACTGATCAAACAAGTCTCATGCTGCCTTTAGGGAGGTTTAGCCTAGGGTCTCTTTCTCATGAAAGCCTCCATCCCCACACAGAGTCATCTGTCAAGCTGTCCATATCACCTCAGTGCACTAAGGTAGTAAAAATCTTAAGTCATCCTACATACTGTCGCTTGACTATAGGAAAAGCATGGAATCACCAGCTGCACAACTGCATAACTATGAACCCCATAATTACACAATACAAGCTGCACTGACTCGAGCATGTCAACAGGATGCCTGTAGGATTCGCTGCCTTGTAAGATCCTGCATGACTAGATTACAGCGTGTGCACTGGCCATCAGGAAGGCAAAAGTGACAGTTCAAAGCTCAGCTCAAGGGCTCACTATGGATGTGGACCTGATGGACACTGCTGACTGTAAAAAAACTGAAAGCAGAGCTGAAGAAGAGGAAAAGTGACAGCAAAAATGACACAGACCAAATGCACTCAAAGCTACTCTCACCACAACCTGAGTTTCTCAGATTGCACTGCACAGCCATCAAAAAGCTTGCACTTAGAGACAAGTTGTTCTGAGATTCACCGGACTGCCAAAACAAAGATTGTGTGCTTGCACGCGCTTGCGTGTGTGTCTGGGTATGTTTATGTGAGGGAGTGGGAGAGACAGAGAGAGGGAGACAAAAATGGATTATTTCTAACCTTTAACTGGTCCTTTATAAATCTTTCACCACACACAGGCCGCGTCAAGAGTTTTCTTATTATAGCAGCAACTAATGAACTAAATGATAAGCTAAGCCATAAATAAAACACAAACAAACAAACAAACATGTATTTTTTCTAATATATATTAATATCTTAATACTTTGCATTGAATTAAAAGTAATCACATTGCATTTCTCAGTTATGTGCTATAACTGTTTATGCTTTCTTAAGACTACTTGCTCGCACTATGCATTACGTTACAAACGGCACTCTTTTCATGAACAATAGACAATTAAATAGCTGGACCTGAATATTAACTATGCACGAGGTGAAACAGAATGTACTAATTGAAAATTCTTACCTCCTCAGCATAGGCATCACAAAGTTTGTTCCCCGAGAGCAGCTTGTTTTTCAAGCTCTTGTTCTGAAAAAGAGAAAACACAAAAGAGGTAATGACATTTGCATCTGCCCTGTAGCCTGCACTGCACGTTGCTTTAGCATTTTTGGTGCTGTATAAAAAGCACTATTGACTCAGTGGGCATCAGTTTCTCCAGCTGGGCAATTGACTGTATAGGAGCCCTCGCAGCAAGTGCTTGGTTGCCTCTTGATTTCAGACTTAAAAGCAGTCAGGAGTGGCCTGTCTGACGATCTGAGAGCGCACTCTGGCTCGCAGGCCTCTTAAAGGTCAGGAACGTAGCTCAGGGCAAGACCCCCACTGAACTTTAAGCATGATCAGTAAAGTCTTAAAATCATTTGAATGGTAGTGGGTGGAGAGATGCTAAAGTTTGGGTCGTGAGCTGTTGGCACCAGTTAACATCTAAATCTGGAGACAAGTGAATGATTCTGTCCAAACACACAACACCGGTAACATCAACTTAGGTTTGATGCATTAAAACCAAATCTACAGATTATCACCAAATGTACATTAAATGAAATGTAAATTTAAAGAAAAGAAAAAAAACATAACGCTTAATTGGACAACTTCTGCAAAGTGCAAGGGCAGCAGAAATTATGCAATGTGCTTTGTCTTGTCTTGCAAATTCAATTTCTTCATTTTCAAAACATGGTTGAATCCAAATAGCAATTAAAAAAAAACATTTATAGTAAAACCCCATAAGGTTTGTGGTTTGCTGTACCCAAGAGCTTTTTCTGTGAACTGAATCTGAATAAAACTACAGATGTATTTATGCATACACTATACTTCTATAGGTGTTCTGGGAATTTTTTTACAACATACTTGAGCAAGGAGATTTCAAGAGAATCAGATTCTTTATATAGAAACATTTATTGCAGCCAGCTTTGAAATAAGGAGAACAAAACGATGACATGTGTTGAGAGTGTTGTCATCCAGTGCCGATGCCGGCGTATTCATACTGATCATACACATTTATAAAGTCTTCATGCCTGGTCATATATTCAAATAAGGTTAACACAGCTCCTTTGCCGTAAGTATTAAGGAGGAGTAGGAATGCTATGTATGCAGAGCCTGTCTATTCTCCCAAAATTATAAAATTAGAGGAGAGAGTCTCCGCTCAAGCCTTAGGGCCTAAATCATTATATTCTTTCGAGAGATTCCACTCTCAATGACCTTTGAGACCTTTCCGAATGGAGAGTTTCACTTTAGTCAGAAAAATCCTTTACAATATGTTTAAAAGGAAGTCTGCACTGACAGAGTCAGGGGAGATGTAAAGACAGATGGCTGGGAAGCAATAACAGCATTTGATAAGAAGGGAATTTCCCTTTTTTAATTGGCACTGATCTGGTAATAAGATCAGTCCTAAACCAGCTTAATGCTTAACCCAAAGTAACCATCAAGTTTTCCAGATGACCCAATCGTCCAGCATCTGCAGATAGGAGAAAGTTTAGACTGTCTCTAATGTGATTAAAAACCAGACTGTCTGCAAAAGGTACTGCGAAAAGCTACGTGGTAAACCCAGTATATTTATAAGAGTTATATTTATAAGTGTATACAAGCTTTTAATTGGTTTGTAGAAAGGGAAGACTCCAGCTTCAGCTTGTTTTGGGGATTTATTTTCCAATGGTTACATTTTTACAATCAACTTCTGTGCAATAATGCAGCATTTAAATAACTAGCTAAAAGAGAGAATAATCAAGTGAGCGGACCACAAAGCCTTGAAATATTCAGAGAAAATATGTCACTTCATTGAGTTGACCACGAACTCCATGAATTGACCACATGAATGTGAGGACATGTATCTGACAGCTAAAGCTTGGCCTAGAGTGGGTCATGCAACAGAACAAAGATCCTAATCACAGCAGCAAATCGACAACAGAATGGGTGAAAAAAAGAATCAAAGTGTTGCAATGACCCAGTCAAAGTAAGACCTTGACATGTAAATGAAATGTGTCAAGAAGAAGAGTCGTCCAAAATTCTTCCACAATAATGTGACAGAATAATGAAGATGTACAAATAATGATTACTTAAAGTTATTGCTAACTACTGATAAATTAAGTTATTGCTGCTAATGATGGTTCTATATGGTACTGAATCATGGAGTGTACTTAGCTTTTCACAGGACTGCATTGCCCTTTTATATAAAATGATATATACTTTATTTATTTCAAAGGTTAGAGCAGCCAAGCTAACACAGCTTAAAAGAATAAATACTATATTAGAAATGCAAATAAATACACAAAATAAGGAGCACAATAAATTAAGACATAAGAAAAAGTGTAAAAATAAGTGAATATGAATATTTTTGAATGACACAGGTAAGACTGTCTGTATCTGTCCTTGTTGGAAGGAAGACAAAAAAGCATGTTGTCCAGATCCATTTCTGATCCAGTGCCACTCATAACATTCACTTGACCTCTGCATCAGTTGACTGAGTAATCCAAACAGTGCGGCGATCCAAACTGAATTAAAAGGGAATCCAAACAGCAAAAAGAACGATGGAAGAAAATTTCCTCTGCAAGTACGGACACAGCTAGCAGCCCACTACACAGGCCACAACACCCTTTTTCTGACATGCCTGGGATTACACCACTTTTCAGTCACATCTATCACAACCACATTTTTTCTTACCTCTCAGATTAACGTCCCTGTTTGCAATCCCTGTCCTGAAGCTATACAGTCACACTGTGGTTTTGGAAAGAAACACATCAAAATAGGCTCACTGTGTTCCCTCTGGACTCAGAACTGCCAGCATGATCAGCTGGTGAAAACTCAAGAGTATATACAAACAAGCCAAAAACAAAAACAACAAAAAAAAACATGGGTAGACATGCTAAAATTGGAAAGTATTGCAAACCAAAAAATAACCATGACCTCCATCAAAAAATGACTTTACCCCGAGATAATCATTAAAATGAACCATAATTGAAATTACTGTGAAAGGCTGTAACTTACCACAGTGCCAGGAATAAAAGCAAAAATATATAATATTGCAAAACATAGTTATAGAAGTGTGTGGTTATTTTTTTCTCGTTTCTTTAGTACCAACAGAGCTGTGGGCATTGTTTTGTTGATCTCACTGCAGCACCATAAAATGTTCAAAAGTGTCGAGAGTCGAGTAAATGAATCATTCTAATGAGAACATCATTGTGGAATTTGTTTGGATGGAAACTTCTATATAACACCGACTGGGGATGTTAACCAGCAGTTAGATTTGCAAGTAAGTAAGCTATGGGTTTAAATAGTGACCTTCGGGGTAAACATACGTATGTATTATAACCATTTAGTGTTCAGTGCCCATATAGAAACACACGGAGCTGTCAGCATGTAGATTCTGAATATTGCTTCTACCTGAAGAAATATCAGTGTCAAATTAGCCTAATGTCAGCCCCAAGCAGAAATTGCCCTTTGACATTACATATAATTATGTGAATGCATCTATTGTCATGAAGTTCAGTTCCTGCAGGTGGGACACATGTATCACCAATAAAACTTTAATCTGCAACTTAAAGCTTTAAAGTCTGAACCATAAAATTGCGCAAAAATTCAAACAATTTTTAGAACCTTCTGACAAAAATGTTGTGACGTCCAAGTATTTTAATTTATTTAAAATGTATTTCTTGAAAATGTGTCATGTCATGCATCAACTATGATATGCTAGGCCTTAAATATTACTAAAAATCACAGACGCAGGGCATCAATAATTATCTGGCCCAATATTTTCACAGTCAAATACAGATCACTGTGTACCTCACTTTTTTTTTTTTTTACATAAATATTATTGGATAAAATAATTCCCTAACATGGTGCTGTATTCAGTTTGAAATTGAACATGCAGTACATTCTGGACTTTCCTTTTATTTTTTTTAATTTATTTTTAACACCCACACCTTCACAATGTACTACACACTCCAGTGCAGACATAAGATGCACTCTTAGCTGAGGTAATGAGTTGTTTTGTGACTCGGTGAAGCAAAGCTGACCGAATATCATTTTCACACAGTGGCACCTCCTTTCACCACTACAGAGGGACCACCTTTTGAGGACATGTAGAACTGGCAGCCATTATAAAATGTGACGTAGTTAAGCCCCAGGACACACTCAGAGAGAAAATAAGATTCTCTGGAGCTTATACTGTATGTCACAGTGCATTAGACGAAATGAAACGCACCATGCTGCACATGGCATAATGTGTTATTCCCGCAGTATTGTCAATCTGCAGGCCTAAAAATAAAGTCAGTTTTTTTTTACATGTTCGTGCTGTTAATATTTTAATTTAGAAAAATGCAACAGCATTGTATTGCTCCTTGACTAAACAAGCACATTATGTTTCAGAATTTGCTGACAAGTTTAGTGCTTTATTATTGCAAATAATTGTATAGTCAGTGATAAAATGCAATGCATACAGTAATATAGGCTATCACAGCAACCTAAAGGACTTTAGCACACAAACACATACACACATAAAATAAATTCCCATTATTCAAGTCAAAGTTATTTTCGCACATTATAAAGTGCTGATATGCTCACGGGCACTAAGTGCTGATATTTACTGTCCATCTAGGTCAACTTTCATACTACTCAACAGCCATCAGTGCAGCATCCTTTTAGCCTCAGTGCGAAGCATCAGAAACCAAGTCTTCCGGAAACACATTTTGTATTTCATCTCAGTCGAGTTGTTCCCAAATTTACACCATGGAGTGTGAATGCAGTGTGCATAATAAACTGGCATATTTCATATTTATGTATCAAACACTCCCAAGCGGTGCATTCTACCCAGCGCTGCAAAGTTTAAATAAACTATGAAAAGTGCATTGCATTTAGGGCTGACATTTTTATTTCAAACTGGCCGTGGCGTGCGCATATCTTGACACCACTTACAAGTGTGGCGCTGTTGTCATAACACATTTCAGCTTAAAAGGTCAATAAGATTCATTGTTAATGGCAAAAACAACCCAAAAGGACAAGACGATTCTGTGGCATCACTGTTTTAACAGGTTACATGTCAT